TTTTCGTCTACACCTCACGGAAACTGCGACGGAGGCTCATGAAATGCCCGTCCGACAACCATGTTCTCGCAGCAATGGGTCTAGCACTATCGGGGCAGAGGTTCGAGACTTACGAAAATTTTCGAATTTTGGTGACCAATTTCTCCGCCTCGAAAGGTCAAAAATTTTATTCGCGCGGAATTCAATGATTGCCGGTGAGGTGGGTGTTGTGTGTTAGGAACGACTTCGAATGAGATCAATTTTTCTGATAAAAAATCATTATCTCGAATTTTCAGCAAAATTTGTCTCATTTCATACGCATACACCTGATACAGTAGAGCCACCTTATGGCGGACCCGTGTATGACGGTCGCTCGCTCATAATGGATAGCGAACCCGATATGAACTTCCCTTAGTTGAGGGGGTCACAACGTCACAACTAGCCTTAATGCCTGCCTGAATATGCAATACAGGAACCGAGGAACCGACAATCCCTCCGAAGACCATCGAAGAGGAAGCAAGTGGGTCGATTACCTTCTGTGGGGTGGGAAGGAAGGCTGATGATTATGATAGAATGGTCGAAAACTCGAATGAGAGGCTCTCCAAAAGGAAAACATGTAAGAGATAGATTTCTCGGTTTCGGCCCTGTTTCTCCCTACGCTGATCAGATCCATAGCAATTCATGACGAACGTATACTTCTCAGTCGGACAATCGTAGACGGCGGCCTCTGGAGAGTTGCAACGTTCCTCTCACACATGCGCGTCGTAGGAGGAACCGCCGCGATGTTGACTGTCGACCCTCACGTACCATTCAATCTCAGAGCCCACGGTCGGATACAACGCACTTTGAATATGAGGAACCGTTTTTGCCGGCGATTCTTTGAACAACTCCGGCTACAGTACGGATCCGAAACCATTTCTTCCACTTAAAACACATTTTCGGTCTCAGCCACATGCTCCGAAAGGATGGATTTCCCAATAATTTGCTATCGCGCTTTCCCAGGTCGATATCTGCATTGGATCCGGATAGATTGTTTCCGAGGCGCAAGAAATGCTTCATATAGGCGACTAACGACTCGGCTTCGTGCCTGGACTCGATAGTCGGTCATAAGGTCTCGACAAGCTCTTCGATCTAATTTTCGCAGCATCGCGATGGAATTCTCTTCTTCTAGCCCGAGGAAGGCGAGGTGCGAGGACGAGTTTGAGCTGACGATTGCAGCTCGCGACGATCCCCTCCAGTGCTGTCACCGGATCCTGGCCCGTTGAGACTCGTACGTCTGTCGAATTTCTGATCATGCTCAGGATTTCAGATTTCCGACATGCCCGCGTAGTCGGCTTTCTGAATGCTCTGGTCTTCGATACTCGCGACCGAGTAACGGAGATCCGAAAACTATCTCCTCCAGGTCCCGGGAAAGTTCTCTGGAGACCTAGCTTCTTCAATCGTGCTTCATTCCAACAATTACCCATCTCATAAGGCCGAGCAAGTGTGCAGTGCGCTTCCCATACCACCTACCACCTATGCCTCGAAACCCAGATCGCCTAGAAACCGGTAGCTCACGATGATCCGGATCGAGGATGATCACTTGGACATGGCTCTTGATCCGCGTCTGGTGCCTTCTTTCAGAGTTGATGTGCTGAGGAACTGTCTCTGACATCGATATGTTGGGGAATGCGACCAGTAGCCGAAGAAGGATTTTGCAGGGGGAAGCGATCTCATGAGAACCTCCACGATAGGGTGATCCTACTTCCGCAAAATGAGCTGCTGGGTGGGGCCTGGGGCTGACGGATTCACTTTGGGCGAAAATATTGAATTCCATGCAATTGTAAACCTCAAGGGGGAGAGGAGGGAGGATTCATTCGCGATGGCGTCTGAATTGGAATTTAAAGGATACGGAAAGGATGGGAAAAAATTCCTCTCCATGTAAGGGAATCAGAACGTACATGAACAATAATGATGAGCCATCTCAAATAATCTCAAAAAGAGCAGGATTCGTATCATGGGAGAAGATTTATAGAATTTCGGTGGAAGATTTATCAGACTGCGAATCATCCCCGATGTTCAGCGGGCGATCTCCAGATGAAGAGCTCAGAGAGGATCATCCTATCATTGCTCTGGGAGTCGCCGTCGATGTGCTCTCAAATGTCAAGCAGCCTGCGGACGCGCGGTCCTTGTCCACTATTCACTTCAGAATTCGATGCAGGAATCATGAGCGATACAAGCTCTTTGGCTCTGAAGAAATAATAGATCTACACAGGAAACCGGAGAGGGTTCCCGGCTTGCGAACGCTGTTTTGCTATATTTCGACCGCAGATTACAGGACAGATATGTAATCGAGGCTCTTCTCTGGCGAGCTCCGCGCTCCCCTAACAAGACCGATCGATTGAGGGACGGGTAATTTTTATTGAACTCATGAGTCGAACATATGTACGCTTCCGGATACGAAGCG